TCACACCTCGCTAAGTGAAAGAGCTAGAATTAGAAAGAGTCATTTTGGAAAGAAATGAAAAAAATCTGGAAATTTGTTTAAGTTATGTTAAGCTTGAGTTTTGGGTCAACTTCAAACAACCATAACTCCTAGATCAGGATGATTTATGTGTGCTACTAGATACCTTAGGAAATATCTTTGAATTATCTTTTCAACGCCGCCGAGTTTGCTCGATTTCGAGTTCGTATGAGGGAGATATGGCCATTCAAAGTTGGGATGTCTAGATAAGGAAAGTCAAAACCGGAATTTAGAAGGGTATTATGGTCTTTTCACCACCCAATTAATTAATTTCGTTTTTGGTAATTAAGTTTGGGTCTAAACTGAATTTATTCATTTTACTCTTTACAAAATTTAATTAGGGTTTTGAGAGGAGAGAAAATAAGAGGAGAAGAAGCAAGGATTCGTCACGTTCTTGAAGCTAAGCTTGTGAATTTCGCCTAGGGTTGATCCCTACGAGGTATGTGAGATCACATAACATTGGGTTAGTTCACCCACGAGCCAAACATGATTTAATTCAGCGTATTTGTGTTCTTGAAAGAAAAGTTTATGAGTTCTTTAGGAATTTTGTTAAAGTTTTGTTTGAATCTTGATTGTTGAGTTATAATAATAGTTATCACTCCAGCATAGATATGGCACCATTTGAGGCGCTTTATGGGAGGGGATGTAGATCCCCCATAAGATGGTTTGAGGCTGAAGATGTGAAACCTTTCAATTTGGCTAGGTAATAAAAATTTCGTTTGGGTTTGTTGATATTGTTTTGGGATCGAGTGATAGCACGTGTAGGGGGAAGGGAACAGTTAGGCGGTGAAGTAGCGAGTTCCAAATCAGTGATAGGACTAGTTGGCCGAGGGTCCAGGTGGGTTGACGTGTTGGTGTTTTGAAGTTGATAGACAATGAGAGGAGATGAGTTTCTATGTGTGTTTAAAAGGGAAAGGTGTGTGTGAATTTGTGAGGAGGCGTGGTGGTGGGAGACACTGGGCAGTAGGTACAGAAGATGGGTTCTGGGAAGCGGGAATTATAAGAGATGAGGGAGATGGAAATTTACGTGGAGAAAGGAAAGGTGCAGGAGGTGAAGCTGTGTTCGCCACTAATGCATTGTCGGATGAGGACTGGAGTATGAGTTGCCTTGAAACTGGATGGAGAAGGAGTAGACGATGACAAAAACTCTGTTATTGTGCAAGCTTCTATTTCTAATGGGAGGGAAGATCTGTAACTATAGGAATTTTAGGCGTGGGGTCTAAAGAATTTGGCATTGTGGCTTTTGCCCATTCCAAGTGAGTTGATTTAATGGTAGTATTGAAGAACAAATTTTTAAATGGAAAAATATGCTCAATAAATCACACATCGCGGGATAAATACACCTTTGCAGAAATTGGATCAAAACATTGGTGACAGTGATGAGATAAGGAGAATCTGAGATAGACACACGGGGTAGATTTTGGTTCAAGTTTATTTTTGGAGTATGGTTTAAGCCATGGATAGCATAAACAACCAAAAATCCATAGGGAGTTATAATCGGGTGATTTACCAAGTAACGTAGGAATGGAGATTGACTATCTAGGTGAGAGGTTGGCAGATGATTGATGAGGTAGACACTATGATGACAAGCGAAAGACCAAAATTGGGGTGGAAGGGATGCCTCGTGTAAGAGTGTTTTTGCAAGTGTTTTTGCAGTTTCAACGATATGACGATGTCGTCGTTCTGCAAGTGCAACTCGTTGAAGCGTATAGGGTGGGGTGGAGACATGTTCAATGTTGTGAAGTGAAAGATAAGAGTCAAAGACTTTTATACTCTCCTCCGCCATCAGTATACAATGATAAAAACTTTATGTCAAAAATGTCTTTCCATCAAAGGATGAATTTTTGAAAGATGTCTTTGACTTCACTTTTTTTAGTTAATGTGTAGAGCCAAGTGTATTTTGTATATTGGTCAACAAAGATACAATAATACAGCTTCTTGTCAAGAGATAAAATCGGTGATGGCCCCCATAAATAACTAAAAATAATTGAAGCGGTTTAGAGCTACACAATGATAATTGAGTAAAAAGATGTCAATGGGCTTTATTAGATTAACAAGAATTGCAATGGAAGAGTTTGTCTCACTCATGAAACGGTAGCGAGAATTTATTTAAAATAAACCTAAGAACTCTAGAGTGCGGATGACCAAGACGTTGATGCCAAGTAGTGAGAGAAATGGATGGTGCAGTCATGTGAGCTTGAGGATGTGAGACAGGTCACTTATACAGTCCATTGTTGGTCCGGCCGTGCACCAACGATTTCCGCGTTTTCAAATCCTTCACAACAAAGTCAAAAGAAAAAAATTCAATAGACTTTAGATTGTCTTGACAAAAGTTAGAAACATATAGAAGTTTGTGTTTAATGGAAGGGTCACACAAAGTGTGGGTTAACTTGAAAACATTGTTTGATGCATAGTAGAACAAGTGTGAGAGATGGGAATTTTCTTACCATCATCCATGGATACATCCTCAGTACCATGGTACGATTGTAGATTGTGTGATTATGTTGTGATGTGATGGGTGGCTCTTGAATCAACTATCCAAGGGTCGGCTGCAGTAGTAAATCCAGTTGCATAATTGGCTTTGGCTTCAAAGTGATTGTGAGACTCCGAGCGGTAGACATTGGCGGTGTGGCCAATCCTATTACATAGTTGACATCGAGTAACACCATTTGGATTTGAGTTGGACTGCCATTGTGGTGGAGTATTTGGATGTGAGTTTTGGTGCCATTGTTGAGAATTGTTGGTCTGCCTGCAACTGTTGCGATTATTGGTATTGGATTATTGGTATTGGATTTGGTGAGAGTAGCGATTGCAGCAGTGATAGGACTAGACAGTTTCTTAGCATCCTTATGGCAAAGGAAAAGTTCATAGTCCAGTAGTTTTTCAAACAATTCCTCATAGGAGATAGTCGTATCACGTGCACGAATGGCAGCAGAGATCTCACGAAACTCAGGACCTAGACCACTGAGTATTTTGACAATGAGTTCAGGATTGGACACAGGAGCACCAGCAGTGGCTAACTCATCCGAAAGAGACCGAATAGTGTAAAGATAATCAGAAATTGAGTGAGATTCTTTAGTGACACGGGCAAGCTGATCACGCAAACTAAAGACTCGAGTTTGAGATTTGTTCGCATAAGTGGTATGTAAAGCATCTCAAGTTGATTTAGCCGAGTCATCAGCAGCAACAGTAGGAACAATGGTGGGTTTGACAGAATCCATGAGGGTATTCTAGATGAGTTTGTCCTGACGGAACCAAGTTAAGAAGGTAGGATTAGGAGATGTGTTCATGCCTAGGGTAATCGTGCGATTGGGGGCCAGAGTGGTCCCATCGAGATGGCCAAAGAGGTTGTATCCATACATAAGCATGGAGAATTGGGCTTTCCAGGTGGCGAAGTTGTGACCACCGCTTAGTTTGAGAGGTAATTGGGACGCAGGATTAAATTGAATGATACTGTTGGTACCCATCGTGTTATCAACATTGACAACTCTAGGATTGTTGCCATTGTGATTGGTCATGTTGTTGATCTGCGTGAGGAGAAGGAAGGAAAAAAAATTGGATCGTTCTCGTTAGAGCGTAAGAGCCCTGATACAATGTAAAGACTCAATAGGTTCTAGAAAATGATACTTTATTAATGAAGGCTGAAAGGTATTAAATAGAGTTACAAAGAACTAATAAGACTCCTAAACTAATTGAACTACATAAATAATATTTGCTGATATAGCTAATGCAGATTCCTAAATAAGCAAGGACTATGAAACACTAATACCGACTTAATTATTAACTACTGTCTTAACTGACTTCTGATGCTCCAATAAATGAAACCGTCAAAATCAATTTCACGCTTGTTTACCCAAATAATCGACTTTGATCGAACTTCAACCAACTTTAAATTTTAGAAGGAAAAATCTTTTTGGTCAGAATGATATTTACCTATGTTATTTTACCTTTTTAAACATTTTTACCCTTTTAATTTTAATACCTTTTAACTAAAAATAAAAAAAATGATCAGTTTATTTTAAAATTAAAAAATATTATAATTTTTTAAAATTTCTGATTAAATTCTGGCCATTTAGCATTACCCATTTTAGAATTTATTCACCGCAAGCATATGGTTTGCCTCGTTTATCGTGTCATCCTTTTCCACGAGTCACAAACCACATTTCAAGGCTATAGAGAAGGTCTTGTTGGAAGAAGGGATCCTAGAAGTCAAAAAAGACTGCAGATACGTTACATAAAATCACTTTTTTACTGCGCATAGTACACCTACTTTACCTTTTAGTTTAAAGTGTAGATTTAATTAAGAACAAATTACTGAATTACACTCTTTTACTTACCTTAATATTCATTTATCCCTATTTATTTCAAAAATTTCAAAAATCCCTTATTTTACCTATGTATCCCGCATGTATTCCGTGCACAATGCTATGTATCCCGCTATGTGGAATGTATCAAACGCTATGTATCTCGTGCACAACACTATGTATCCCGCATGTATCCCGTGCACAACGCTATGTATCCCGCTATGTGAAATGTATCAAACCTAATGTATCCCGTGCACAACGCTATGTATCCCACAAACATCATTTTTAAGGAATTTTTGGTAAATAGAAAACTAGAAAGAATACAATGTTATTTAGTACTTATAATATGTGATTCCTATAATTTATACAATTAACTCTCCCTACAAACAGTAATTCTGTCATGTCACTATCATTCTTGACTCATTTTTTTTCATTATTATGTATCCAATCACTATTATTTGGGCCACATTTAACACTCCTAGAAAAATTATTAGTCATTAGTTTACCAAATATCATAAAATGCGTTCCTTCATGCCAAACTCTCACGATTATGATCATCAGCCTGGACTTTTATCACATTTTGCAAAGGTAGAAAGCTTACCAGCCTTGAGTTTATGAAGGAGTTTGGATTTGCTTGGCTTTGATCCAATCCCTAATTAGGAACTAAAGTGAGTTTACAACATACAGCTACCAGCAAATAGCTAAAATAAGAATTTGGGAAAATAAAAACTACCTCATTCAGCTAATCTCACCCTCGAGAAATAGCTGAGATACTTAAACTACTTTTATACAAGCTTAACCATTGTTGAATTATGAAATCCCAACTTAAGCTAATGCCTTACATTACAATCATCTGATATCGTCTCCTCTGATGAGGCGTCGCTATTGATGACAATCAGCTCAACTTTTTCATCTGCTTCTGTCTTACAATGTTGCTTCCCCTCTCTCATAGGGAGATGAGCACAATCAGCATTACCATTATTCAGCTCAGTTTTTGGTGTAGTGTACAAGTCGCTCAGTCTGTTCATTGATTCATAATGAGCTCGGTTAGGTTCAGAAAACGCTGGACCAATCCATGGATGGATAAACCATGAAGAATCTGGGGCAAATCCAGGAGGCCTGGGTGGGATAGCAACCACTTCCTTAAGCCAGTGAGGCAAATTACCTACTTCAGACACTCTGTTCATAATTCGAGAACTGAATGAACATTCAACACCTGAACCTGCAGAGTTCTCGGATTGATTGAATCTAGCTCTTTTGTGTTTTCCCCTGAGACAGAGAGAATCTAAGGTCCCTACATTTGTTGTAGCCAGGTGAAGTAATTTGTGCGAAGTATTTTGAACATTTGGAAAATGAAATGGTATTTGGCTCCGGATGTTCCCCTCTGACTGGGAATGTGCATGCCCAAGTGAAAGTTGAACATCATCCATACCATGGGATGAAACATCAGCTTTATGTAACTGTCTCACAGGGGAAATGGATTTTCCATGTAAAAGTTTAGACTGTTCCTCCATCCACCGTTCTGCCAAGTCTGTTGGTGTCCTCCAGGAAAAAAAGCGCAGTCTTGGATCCCTCAACATCACATCCCAGTTACCTCTTCCATGCCGCCTCACACCAATCCAAAGAGAATCTAGCTCCTCTTCTGACCACATGGTTGGAGACCCTAATTTTTCTGCAAATCTCCTCTTGTTTCCGTTTTGAGATCTTGCTCTATTAAGAATGTTATCCAGGATCATTTGATGTCGGTGAAGCATTGATGCATCAACAGAAAACTGAGAAGCTGCTCCTTGAATGAATTCGCTTGGTTGATTCCATACGTCAGCCAACTGTGAGGATCTCGAAACTAAAGCTTGACTTGGCAGTGACAAACCAAGAAAATCTGAGGATTCTGCTATAGTAAACGCACAATGTCTCTTGTCTTCTAACGAGGAAGCTTTTCCTTCTTTAGAATTAGCATGAGCACTCTCATTTTCCTGCAGGCTTGCTAATGGGAAAAAGTTGTAGGTTCTATCATCCGACAAAAGCTGAAAGCAAACAATTTAATGCATCTCAATCAAATGTCAAAGACTCAATTGGAAGTGCACAGTATCACAGAAAACTGGTAGAGATTGAGATGAGCAGCAGTTTCTTTAACACTACACATACCTGCAGTAAATCATTCTTCGAAGAACTACCTGCACAACTATCAACCATTGCTTTTCCAGATAAGCAACCAGCTTCAGGTAACTCTGCATGAATTGGAGTTATCTTCTCGGGCTTGTTGTCAAGTAATTCCAAACTTTTATCAGAAGGCACCCTATGTAAAACCGTGGAATCATTTCCATTCAAGGAGCAAGGAGGGTTCAGCTGAACTTCCAGTGCAGTTGGAATGAGGTGTTCATCAGATGCTTGTTCTGACCTATTGCGGTCCATTTTGTCATCACTATCTGAACATGGTAATTTAAAACAGAAGCATACTGAGACACATAAAATTCATGAACACGAGCTCCTATAAAAACATATATCTTAAATCCAGGAGGATAAAACCAAATAAAAATACATACCACAAGGTATAGATATATCTAAAGCTTGGGAACCACTGTTACTTGCAACCTCTAAGGGAGACGACATTGGCACTTCAGTTCTGGATAAACCATCAAAAGAAGGGTCCTGAGGGCTATGAAATGATGACTCCTTGAAAGCATCTGAAGCAACACCGTCATCCAAACCAGAGAAACCTACTCCAGAATTTGGATCAGCTACTTCGTCGATTGGTGGAGCTTCCTTCACTGAGATAGGCTGTTCATTAACATCTAACAATCTGTACAAGCAAAATCCAGGAATTAAAATTGAATATCTTCAACTAGGTTATATTTCCAGACAAGAATCTTTCATTAAACCTGTCCCCTAACTTCACTATAAGGCAAGAGTAGACGATAGTTAAGCTTACATCTTCATCTGTGAAGGAGATCCAGCACAAGCACGATAAGTGTCACCTCCGTTGGTTGTCTATAACAAAAAAAAAACTTGGTTAACATTGGAATCACATGATTTTCTAGAGAAATAATTAGCATGTCAGTCTTCATCGGGTGTTTAGTAGGACAGCAAAGACGAACAGAGAAGCAAGCACGTTCCACCAACCTGAGTTATCAATGCCTTCACATAGCTTAACATGTCAAAGGAGAAAACCAAGTAACCAGTTCAAGCAGGATGCAGAAAAAAAAGTCTCATGCAAAGTGAATTTGTCTCTCAAATTACAGAACCTGTAGGCTAGTATCTGCAGTTATAGGAAAGCAAGAAAATTTACATAATCCATTTGAAATACTTTGGCTGAGCCTTGTCTGGACATAGAAAAAGAATGTTCTGTTTTTGCACAGTTGTTTTGTTTTCTTATACAATATTTTTTATTTTATGTTTCTGAAAATAAAAACAAAAAAGACTCTCAGAACATCCCAAAATAATATCTCCTAAAACCAAATCCAAACATCCATAGAAACAAAACAAACAAATTAGATGAAAACCAAGAAATATTAGTCTAAGTGCCCTCAAAAATAAAATAAATCTAGACATCAATTTAATACCCTATATTGCAAAAGTCAGCAGAGTCTAGGCTTCAATCTGCATGCTCATGGTTACTAAGAACTCGTACAAGAAACACAGAATATAATATTCGTAACAGTCGAAGGAAAAATGGATGAGTATAAATATTTGTCTCATGTATTCAAAGTAAGAGTCTAGAGAAATACTATGGCTATCCTACAAATGCATAATCTATTTGTGTTTTGTTTCTGCCAATTTTGCACTTTAGTTTAGGAATACGAATAACTATAAAATAAATTAGAAAAGATTATGAATAATCAGCATTGATCTCCGAAAACTGGTTAGATATGTTTCAGATTATGAATAAGTTTAATATGGCACACTTTCTAGTATCATCTAAAAATCAACTGACAAAAGTTCTTTTCATTACTAGCAATGAAGTGGCTTGTCTAGGATAAGGATTAACCTCTGGATGCTTAAAATCTACTGAAAGATCCACCGAGCAACTCTTAGCAACTGATTTTTCAGTGTCATGAGGAGAGACAAGACATGCAGTATTTACAACTGATAAGCAAGCAACATCTTCAGCTTCAAGATTGCCCTTGGCATCTGCCCAGCCTGCATCCTTGTCCCGCTTGGCTCTTCGCTGAAAAGTAATCAGACTGGAAGACAATTTACTTGTACTAACTGCATTTACAGAGGGGATCAGAGAGATATCTTTTAGTGTGTCAGCTTCTTCCGGACTCGGTTTTACCAAATCAGAAGAATCAGAATCCTGAAGATTGCATCCCCTCTCACCACCAGAACTTGGGGAGACCAAATCCTGTTCTCTCAAAGAATTCAATCCTGTCAACGGGGAACGAGAAAACTTCTGGGTGCACTTACTATCACATAAACTGCCTGAAATAATGCAAGAACATAATCTCTTCTGTGAACTCCTCGATTCTCCTTCAGAAAGAGGCCCTTTGGAACCCTTTGAAGACTGAACTTCTTCAGAATTATCCTGCAAAGATGAATGGCAATTAAGCAACTTGGGAAGTTTAGGCAAGAAGAAGATTGTTTCAATGAAAATCACAATTCCAAAAGTCACATTGAAGCTCAAAATCCATCTCTCAGGCTAAGCTTGACTATCTAACAGTCACAGTCCCTAAAAAGTCATAATAAAAATCCTGAACACATCATACAAGTATAAAATAATTTCAATAACTCAATTACCCATCTGCTATCTTGATTTTGACAAGGAACAGGCATTTAAATGTGCAAGTTGATACAAATAATTTTTCAATGGTGCGCACTATTTTCATCCTTAAGAAATACAGAAGTAAACTTAAAAGAGAATGTTGAAATCAACTATGTCCAATCAGTTGTTTCTGCATAAGATGCATGTACGGTTGTTCAATTCTATCCTTTTTTCTATTATTTATCTTTCTTTTCTCTTTGCTTTATCATGCAAGATAGGGGAAGCAGGAAATGTGCATAGCGTAACTTGAAGAAATTTAAAGGGATTATGGTGATCCAGCTAGGCTACAACTGAGCAGCAGGGAAAGAAGTATAGATCAGATGGAGTGGTGCAGCAGGATTTTTGAGGGGGGGGGGGGGGGGGGGGTAGAAGTGCGAAGACCAATCAACATGGATAGCACACTAGTAACGAAGACCTAGGAAAAAAAATTGACAAGTTGTGTGAACATGCTTGTGTTAAATTGATTTACCTTCAGATTAACAAGGTTGTCTTGTGTTAACAGATCAGTTCACGATGGAAGAAAGCATTTCCAATAGTTTCACAAGTTTAATACTAGGAACACAGAAAATAAAGGGGATGACTGCATCTTCACAATTAATTTGATAGTAGGACGAAAGAGGGAGAAGATTATATTCACCCTATATAAAAAGTTCAACCAACATAATTCAACAACGGTTTGTTTGATCTAGTAGTAGCTTATAAACTCAACAAGTGATTGCTTATCACGTACAAAAGAGAGATTTTTCTTAATTGATATGTCTGGACCAACTTGCATGCTCCTCAACCATTCAACTGGGCAACTTGCCAAATCCACTAGCACAAGATTGCGAAAGTGATCCTGCTCGCTATGGTCAGAGAAAATGAGCTCACATCGAGGGTTATAGCTGGGATTCAAACTTGGGATCCCTGAATTGTCACTCCCATGTTTCAACCACTACATCACCTTTGGGACCATGTACTATAAAAAAACTTGGTTTTCTGACAAAAAATGAAAAATCAAGTTCTACTTATGAAAACTCTGCCAAAGTCTACGCTCTCACACTTCCCATACCAATTTCTAAACCCACACCCCGTCATAAGGAGTTCTTTTGTCACTATTGTTTCAGTCAGTTTGCACCCACCCCTAACAGTTCTATCATGTAAGCACAAGCAGACATGTTTCAGTATATACAACTTAAGCAATTCATCACAAGAAGAACACCATGAACTCTTGAATTTACCCTAATATACTCTTCATCCTAGTTGTCATTCTAATCAAGTAAACAATTTCCCTAAAGCAAAAGAATGACAGAGAGAAAGAGAGACACAGATTGAACGGCTATTAGAGACAGTAGCTAATAATCATATAATTAGCATTTGCATAATGTACGTCTGAAAGCAAGAGATACAAGTGTTGGGATCATGCACCACACTACACATCTGTGTTTATTGATTATGAAGAATCACTAGTAAGTCAAAATCTAGGAGATGATCCATATGTAGATAACAATTTAATTCAGAATAGTTGCCACAGTTACATTAACACAAATGTGACGACATAAATTAGAAGATGTCTATCCAAAGAAAATCAAGCCACAAAAAGGGACCTCATACAACAACAACTACTACAATTACTACTACACCTCAATCAAAAGCACAACAAAGACCTCATGCCTCCAATAGAATGTTTGGTTTCCTAAACCAATTGGAGTACGGTATATCAAAGATCTCACCTCAAAGTCTTTCTTTTCATCCTTGAAGCTAGGGTTGTCATACTTCTCCTCTTCCTCCAGCAAAGGGGCTACGGCCTTTGATTTTCTACACTCAGAAGGTGTATTGTGAGTCCCATTTTCCGGAAAAAGATCAGAACCTGGTAGCCTCTTTCGCTTGTAAGTCAAGAACACTTTTTTCCGAATCATTAAGCTTTTGAAAGGTCATACAAAGAGGTACTGAAACTTCCACAGCAAACTTAAAACAACATGAATTGCAAAGTCGTCAAATTGAAGCTAAAGCCACACGATATGCTGCAAAAATCATAAAAAAAGAAACTACATCAAAATGACTTCATGTAAGCTCAACATTATTGGAACCACTTTTCACCTCATCATGAACTCGTTATTGAATTTTACCTATATGTGCTATAAACAATCTTGGGCAAACAACACGAGAGAAAAAGTATAAGCAACACTTACTCTTCAACATAAACCCATGCAAATAACTACTCCCTCTATCCCAATATATATGACTCACTTCCCTTTCCGGTCACTCCAAAAAAGAATGACACATTTTTACATTTAGCAACAATTTAACTTCTAAATACTCTTTTCACACCTAATGCAATGACTAATAGTCACACAAACCTCATTTTTTTACCACAAATTTCAAAAATCTTTGATTTTTTAAAAAACTCTGAGTAAGTCAAACTACATCACATGGAATGGAAAGGAGGGAGTATAAATTCAGGGCTAATATGTATAAGGTTATCTCTTCCAATTCAACAATGATGATTATCGGAATTCCTAAATAAGCAAAGACTAAAACTTTACAGAATCCACAACTTATCAAACCAAAACCTTTAAAATAACAAAAAAATAAACAGAAAAAAGAAAATCACCTTAAATTCAACATAGAGCACCAAGAAATTTGAAGTGCCAATATGCACTTCATCCAAGATTTTTTGTCAAAAAAAAAAAAAAAAAAGGGGAAAATAGTACACTTATCAGCAAATAGAGTTATTAAAATGGAATTTACCCTTAGAAACCCAAAAATTAAGACGGAAAAAAATAACAGATAATGAGTACTCTACACACACAAAGCAAATAACAATATGAAATCTTTCTAACAAAAAGAAGAGAAAGTTGGAAAAAGGAGAAAGAGGTTACGCCTCACCGGACGGAAACGGAGAAAGTCGCCGGCGATAAGGAAGCCTGAAAATTTTCCGACAAGAAAGCTCAGTTTGAGAGAGAGTGTAGTTGTACTCACTTGTCTGGTCTCTAGAGTACTGTGCGATTAAAGTGAAGGAGAGAGAGAGTGTGCGTTCTCTTTTTGGACTCTTTCACTTGGTCAGTTTTTTCTTTATCACAATAAATAAATTTTCAAATTAAATAAACAATTTAAAAAGTTATTCACACAAATAACAATGTAAAATTTTATTGAATTCAAATATTCATAAAATAATGGATCATATCAAATTAAAGGTATATAAATTGAAATAATCTTTCTAAATTAATATAATTGAATTAATTATATAAGTCCAATAAATAGAAATCCAATTTTTTGGGTTAATTCGTCAAATTGGAGTACACATGATAAGTCCACATTGTAAAAGGGGAAAGGCATAAATTGCCCCCTAACTTATATCGAAAAGTCAGTTATATGATTATACTATTAGGGCGATCTATTACATACCTTTAGCACGCAAAAGTGTATTTATTTATCCCTTCTGTCACTCAACCCCAGGCATTATGTATAGAGTGAGAGTCACTCGCCTCCTAGTGAAACCACGTATTAAATAACATATTTCATTTCACCCAAATCCATTTTATTTTACCCTAATCCATTTTATCTCACCCACTTGTTTAGTTTCTCTAAGAAAACTAAACCTAATTGACACTTTCGATCTTAAATCGATCATTTCGTGAACATGATGAGAGTTGGTCTTCTTCAAATAGAGGTATTTTTCTTGAAATTTTGCAATGATATGGAGATATTGATGAAGATATTTGAAGTATTATTTTAGAAAACACTCAATAAATGAAATGATGTATTCTCCAAGTATTCAAAAGGATATTGTTGATTTTTGTGCTAAGAAAATTTTTAAAGCTATCCTTGAAGATTTAGATGGGGATTATTTTTTGAAATATTAGTGGATGAATCAAAAGATATATCACATAAGGAGAAAATGACACTTGTTTTGAGATATGTTAACAAAGAAGGCGAAGTAATAAAGTGAATTTTTGGTATCACTCATGTTAGTATACATCTACTCGTTCAGGAGACGATCTACTTTTATCTTTCAGATCATTCATTAAGTCCATCCCTAATACTTGGACAAGGTTATGATGGAGCTAGCAACATGCAAGGAGAGCTAGATGGTCTTAAAACTTTGATTTTGAATGAGACTTCACCAACATATTATTGGGTTATGAAGGGTGAGTAGGGAGTCATGCAGAAGCTTACAATTGCATATCATATGGTTGATAAATCATATGACAAAAACTTATACTAAAAATCAAAATATTATTATATGAAAACTAATATAAAAGAAAAATATTAAAACTGTTGAGAGAATAAAATCTCCTCATAAACTAAACTCTTAAACGTCTACATTGTGGATTTTATTGTGTTATGTTATGGGAATAGGATCTTCAATTTATAGATCTCCAAACTTTTCCTCTAAGAAAGAATAAACCAATATGGAAGAAAATTATATTTTCCTTTCAGAAAAAGTAAAAACATTTATGGTAATGTTTTGTTTTTTCTTTTAGGGTCTGTTTGGAAAGCCACCTGGTAATTGGAATTGGTGTAATTACTAGGGTAGTAATTACCAGCCTAGTAATTACACTGTCTAGTAATTACATTGGCATGTTTGGTTGCCACAGTGTAATTACACTGTAATTACCCATGTCATGTTTGGATGCCACAATGTAATTACACAGTTAAATTTAAAATAAATTAGATTATTAAGTAAATAATATTACTACTTAAATTAATTAATGAATACAAAAGTTTTTCAAGCCTAGATTTTCCAGCATAACACATCAAAATTATGCTTGAGATGGCAAAAAGAAACTGATTGCACCCTCAGTGATAATAGTTGTGCTTGCAATAATGGCATAACTTGGGTGACATACAAGTGGTGTAGCAGTGAAACAAAAAAAATATGGAGTTAACAAGATTTGCCATCATGAATGACATCAGACCAAAAATATTTGAAGAAATGTTGATCTATCATTCATGAGTTGTGATAACAGACTACTCCAAATACATATGAACTTAAGTCTCTTGCAACCTCCATCCACAAGCTAGACTACTCCCATTTCTTTTCCCCACTAATCCGTCCAACGACTAGGATAATTGACAAAAGGCAATTTCTTACAATGTTGGCAACTTGTATTGCACATGATTTACATCCTTGATCTATATGGCATATGCGTACATACGTACTTAGAAGTATATTTTTTGCTACAACATAACCTTTTTTATACAGTCAAGTCACAACAAAACTAAGAGAATCATTCGATCTATGATATTCACCTAATTGCTCTAGCATTCCACATTTGTTGAGCTATTTCATCTCTCAGATTGCACATATATTGTTTATCAGCATCTGTCGGTCCTCGTCCAATGTCTTCTTCATCAGAATTAGAATCAGAGTCAATATCATTCAAACCGTGAGAATCTTCTATTTCCTCTTCCATGTGTTCTTCAAAATATGAATCCTGCCAATTCCACTTACGAATGAAATTATGAAGTATGCAACATGATAGTACAATCCAACCTTGTTTTTTGATGAAATACGGAGGAGGAGTCGTTAATATAGGAAATCTTTTTTTCAAAACAACAAATGTCCTCTCTACGACATTTCGAAGTTTTGAATGTCTCAAGTTATAGAGCTCACGAGCATTTTGTGGTGCTTGTGTTTGGCTCCATTCTCTCAAATGATATCGTGCACCACGATAAGGTGCTAGAAAGCCCTTTGTATTTGCATAGCCTGCATCAACAATGTAATATTTTCCTACAAAATTACAAGTATCAGCTTGAACTCTTTAGAAAAATAAATAATATCACTATTTGAATTATTAGTAAATTACCATTCGGACTTTTCAATCTATTTTGTGATCTTTCCCAAACAGCATTTCTTAACACTCTAGAATCCGAAGCAGAGCCTTCCCAACTACTAAGCACGTATTGAAATTTCATATCAAAATCTACAACAGCAAGGACATTTTGAGAAAGAACTCCTTTACGATTTCTATATCTCGATTGTTCTTCCATGGGTATTAGTGCAGGAATATGAGTTCCATCTATAGCTCCAACGCAATCCTTCAAAAAGCTTACAATAAATTTTAAAATATGACACAAAACAATTATAAAATTTTAACTAGTAAAAGTAAATGTAATGCTAAAAACTAACCTTGAACCAAGGATAAAAAAATGGATTAGAGAATATTTCATGCGAGATATCTTTTCCTGCCTATTTCACATAGTATTTCCCTAATCGGAGACAAGCTTTCAAGCACTTGTTAAAATAACGACTAATTGTTTCTCCTGAATGTTGAAAACGATTTTGCACAACTATTTTCCTTTCATTATGAGCTAACGTAAATAAAAATATAGCCAGTTGTTCTTCAACTCTAACCATTCTTGAATCAGTTAATAGACCTCTTGTTTTCATCTCATCTGCAAATTGCAAGAAACATCCAACATTCATACGTAATAGGTCATAGCATCCACGAGGATGTCCTTCAATCAAATATTTAATAAACTTTGCTCTAGTTAAAATTGATCTGTGCACTCTTTTTTTGGATCCAACACCAAAATAACTTGCAATGATACTAATTAAAAGTACACATTTTGTCAGAAACACCATGATGTGATCATTCTTTGCCATCCTATTTGACAAGTAAATGAATTAATTCTAGAATAGATAATCTAGAAGAGAAGAGATAATATCATATACAATCTTAACAAAATATAAGATAAGTAACGTAATTTCAAAACAAAGAAGAGATAATATCATATACAATCTTTAACAAAACATAAGATAAGTCTTAGGATTAATTCTAGAATAGATAATCTAGAAGTAAATAAGATACCAGCCCAAAACGTCATTCGAACAACAAAATATGCTTTTAAACGACATCACTCAATATAAACCAAGTTTGCGCATGACCCATTTCTTTCTAAGCTCTGGAGGCATAGCAGCAAAAAATTCAGCATTTCTCTTATCTACAAGGAGGTCAACAGTTTGCATAGTCCATTCATCATCGAAGTCTAATTCCAATATCAAAGGCATTAATTTTTCAGCGGAAGTGTTTTTTGGTTCATGTTGTAGCCTTATTTGTTCTTCAGCTATTGTTGTCCATCGATCAACAAATTTTGCCAAGCTATTTCCAATAGAATTCTTAATTCTCTTTGGACGTGATGTCAAAGTTGGTTGCTCATCTAAATGCCTTTTTCCTGCTCTCTTTTCTTGATTAGATGATTGAGTTATTTCAGGACTAGTAAAGTTCATGTTCTGAACAAAATATCCATCATCCTGGTCAACAAATTGTGTATCTTCAGCACGTATGATAACTTTTTCAGCAGCTATATCATCATCGGTGAATTCACTTTGAAAATCCTCGACATCATTAATTTCACACCCATTCCTACCATCAGCAACAGTATCTCCAAAAATTAATGCCAAAGTATTATAGTCTGGCAACGTCTTCGTCCTATACTTAGAATCTTTTGGGTGTGCCTATTATATTATCAATAGTCTTAAATCAGAAAATAAATAACATAAATTTAAACTATATCGAGAAAAAAAATAAGAATATATGTAACTCACTGCAAGGTATTGCTCCCAGACATCATCTTCAACATCAACTTTTCGAGTTTCTTCATTCCACCCAAGTCTCATCTAATTTGTTCCCATATAGCTTGTTCATTTCTTTTTCTACACTATCCCATCCTTCAGTGGTTAAGCCTCCTGGTTGCGTTCTTCCTAACTTAACTTGTTCAGCAATAAAGTAAATGAAATGTTCATCTTGAACTTCACTCCATTTGGTGTATGGTTTTCCAATCTTAGGTGTTTGGTTAGTTGTCATCCTACATAAATGAAAATATTAAAAATTTCAAGGCAAAAAAGTACTTCACTAAAGTAGGCTTTGATGTTAATTTGGCAAGGTGAACTTGATTGTTCTTAGAATAGCATGAGGAGTAATTTACATCATGCTCACATTTACCGAATGACTATGACTAATCACATATATCAAGTGTGGCAAGAGAGGAATCGAACATTATTTTGATTTGACGCATCATCCAGGAAGTGATGTACAAGGCCAGTTTCAAGCCCAAGCTAGCAACGAGGACAGCAAACCTGAACTGTTAACCCATTTACAGTTTGTTTGGTAGGCTGACTAGGAGTTGATATTTTGTTTTGCTACTTACTATAGCTACCAGTGATAATATTATGCACTGTAACAATCAACTAATATACAATTTTAAATACAAAGAGTGTAAATGGAAAGAAACCAAGAGCAGAGGTTTATCGATTGATGCAAACTTCACAACCTAAAGTCGTCAAATTACAGTTCTCAGTCACTCTTGTACCAACTCGCTAATACACCAACAGTTGCACAGATGATAACATAAACACCAACCAAATCAACAAGATTTCCACCCATACCAACTGACATTCACCGATCAGAACCAATCATAAAAATAAAGTAAATATGCAGTTCTTATCTTTAGTATTTCTATAATATCATGTGCCCCTTCATCAACTTAATACCCAGAGCCTACAAGTAAATACGCAGCCCAATCTCAATAGAAACAAACAGTGAAAACAACCATAAAAATCCTCAACAAATATTGGCACAAATCATGAACTCAATCAATCTCTAATTAAATAAGGCTTGATTTGACTTTAGACACCAAACCCAGTTTCAATTTATTATAAAAAAATTTTAAAAAAAATTATCATATTTATTTTAATCTCAAGAACTAATAGGAGAAAATACAAAGATCAAACTCATACATAATCTACCTAGACATCAAAATTTGAAAGTAAAATGAATTAGAAAGAAGTCTTACTTTGAAAGAAGATGCACAAGGTTTGTTCTTGTCCCGTTGAAAGAAATGGAAATGTCCAGACAAAAAGAAAGAAGTGACCTTTTGGTGTTTCAAATAAAAATATATTAAAAAAGATAATATTAAAAAATTCATGTAATTACATGGTGTAATTACACTCAATTCCTGACCCTCCCCAAGGAATTGAAGAGTGTAATTACACCCCTTCAATTACACCCAATTCTCCTCTTACCATGTAATTACTTGGTCTACCAAACAAGACAAAGAGAGTAATTACACCAATTCCCAATTCCATTGTGTCCTTTCAAACAGACCCTTAGGAAAAAATAAACTTCAAATAAGATAAGAAAATCAGGGGAAAATCCTAACAAATCTCCCATTTTGGCTTGAATTTTCTTGATCCTCTTTTATCATACAATCTTCATGTATCACTGTTGCTTACCATGGTTAAAAGTTCATATGGGTTAAAAATTGAAGCCATGTGTTAAAAGTTATGAACAGGGTTGAAAGTGGAGCTCATGCGTTAAAAGTAATATGCATGAGTTGAAAGTGGAGTTCATGCGTTAAAAGTAAGATCCATGAGTTAAAAATGGAGCTCATGCGTTAAAAGTAAAAATACATAAGTTAAAAGTGGAGTCCGAGCATTAAAAGTTTGTTGGGGTTGAAAGTTGATTTTATTTTTAAGGATAGAGCAGCAGGATATGTTGAAAATATATTTGAAAATTTTCTCCACATGTAGTAACACAAAAATCATTATCATCACATTGATTGCAAATTGATTTGAAATCACGTGAACCTGTCTTCAATCTTGTTCAACCATTGGATCATTGAACCATGTGCTCTGATACCACTTGTTGGGGTATTGTCACAACCTAGGGGTACCCCCTAGATGTAAACATGGCGTAGTCGACCCCGAAGGGGTCTCATACAAGCCCTAACATCATCATATCATAAGAAAGTAGAAATAATGCGGAAAATTAAAACTTTACAATCGAAGTTCAAACTTCATTTTCATAAAAGGAAACTAGTAGAATCTAGACTCTTAGTCTCATACACCATCCAAGTACAATAGAAAATCTCAAATAGGGTCAATAGCCCTTTAGACATCATAGTCTCATAAAATGAAGTACATAGAAAGTTTACAAAGTCTAGTACAATAAGAAAGAACATAGAGTGGCATCAAATGCTTGTCCTCAAATCTTGAGGACCTACCACAAGTCTTGGAGAAGTCTATTCCAAGTCTTCTTCAAAGTAGGAAATGGAAGTCCTAGTTGGAACCTACACTCATAATATGTAGAAGGGAAAAAGGCATTAGCACATAATATGTACTAAGTATGGAAATATACATAAAAACCTTAAAACATGCAAAAAGGACATTTTTATAAAAGATAAGCATTCATGAGGTTTTGAAACCAACTTGCATCATCAACATAAAATTCAAGCTAATATCACAATTATATTCACAATATAGTAAAGACATGACCATAGCAACCCCTAAGGTCCACTTGTGTCATGTATGGTTGGCATCCCATAATGCCAACCTTACTAAGCATCCTTTAGGAACTACCTTGGTCACACATATTACTTTTAGACTTCATCACATTCTATAATCATAAGTAGAGGATTAGTCATATATAACATTTGAATATAAGGACAAGTCATTCATAGCAACTATCCATTCAATATACATGCATGCATTCATGTCTCAACATAGTAATGAGAACCATCTATATCGTCCTACCAAGTTTATCAGTACAATGTAAAATTAAAGTCTCATACCCCCACTCCTACCTAGCAACCTTACTAAGAAGTTATAGAGTAGTTCATGCTTCATCCATTATCTCAGTATCTAGGAAAAAACTACCATAACCAACATAGACCATGAGAGCTACATGGAATCTGGTGTCTAAACCCCACACCGAAAAGAGGTGTTCTACTTGCCTAAGGTAGAACTAAGTATATAGCTATAAGGTGGATCCACTAGCTAAGTCTTATGTTGGCACATAGTTATGGGATAGGGAGATTGCTTCTAGAAACTCTACCTCTTGCATTAACGGAGGATTCCCCATCTCATGAGTTTACTAAGATGACCCAACCTCTCGCATTAACGGGAGGGTCTTCCTCATTGGCCATATCCACTCGGTGCTTAGTATTATTTCCCAAATTATTATCATTAGTATTTCCATTGTATCTACATGTGTGAAGGATTGTTCAAGCCTTCATTCAATACAATTCAATAAGTAGCTTATAGATTCATTAAGGTGAGAATGCACTTTCAACCTAGAATCAACATTAGCATGTGAGTAGAACTTTCACATTAACATTCATAGTGTCTTCATGAGAACTATAATTTCAATCAACACAATACATTAACATCATTCTAAGCAATTTATGCAACATCATATGTAAGGGATAAGGGAAGAAAGACCATTCACCAATACCTCACTTTGCACCATTGTCATAAAACTTTTACCCTTCAAGTAAATCCCAAGTTCATATACAACATTTCTCAATATGTACATAACCCTAGAAGTTTACCCCTTTCAGGGTCATGAATCAAGTATCACAATTACACCTAAATATACTACAATAGGCATGGGGAAACAAGATTCAACAACTAAATAATCATAGATACAATTCATAGTAATCATCTTGCATCAATACCTTCACTAACATTCGTGAAATTGGGGTCATGGGGTGCACATGGGTTCACGCAGATTTTTACAATAGAAATCACCAATTAACATCAATTCATCCATGATATAAGTCAAATAACATAATGAAAACTTTTTTAGGATGAACCCATGGCTAGAATAGAAACCCTAGTTTTTAGTCAAGATACCAATTTTGAAATAAGAGTTTTGAAGGGCTTCATGAAGAAACTAATTCATGAATCAAGATCCCCATACCTTAATAGAAGCCTTGCCCACGAATTGAAGTGAAAATCTTGGGGCTTGAACCCTAATCTTCAAGTTCTTGGTGTTCTTCAATAGAGGAACTTCTAGAGAAAGAAATATTGAAAGGATTTGGGTCTTCTTTTATTTCTTTTTAAGAGTGATTAAAAAGGGATAATATGACTCTAAAAAGTATTTATATTTTGTAGGAAAAGAGTAGAAAGTGTTGGTTTAAGTTTAGGAAAGATTTACTAAAAGACCCTTCATTAAACTCCAAATTCTAGCCTTCCCACGCTGAAGCTCGCCCATTGGCACCCTTTGGCTCGCAAGGCACTTAGGCGACTCACCTAATGCACCTTAGGCTCTCCCAAAGTTACATTGAGCTCCATAAATTGGCATCTCACTTAGGCGATAGGGAGGGGCAATGGGCCAATCGCCAACCCATTGGGCGACCCTCAACCCATCTTGCCCTTTGTTACAATAGCTAGGACTAGTGAGGAGGTTGTCCATTAGGCGATAAGAGCCCTTTGGCGCATCGCCAAGGCTCATGGGTGAAGCTACTGCCCATCGCCGAATGGTCTTGAGGTACTATTATTTTTCCTTTATTATTCTTAGGTAGTTTAAGGTCCTAGACTTCACCCTAGACTCCTCCCTTAACCATTTAAGCTCTAAGATAGCCTAGTTGTTGCTTTAAGATTACTTTAACCCACACAATGAGGCTTTAGTTTATGCTACCATTTTCCTGGGTGTTACAGGTTTGAAGGGTGATTAGGCGTCATGCGGAAACTTACAATTGCATATCATATGGTTGATAAATCAGATGAGAAAAACTTATACTAAAAATCAAAATATTATTATATGAAAACTAATATTAAAGAAAAATATTAAAACTGTTGAGAGAATAAAATCTCCCCATAAACTAAACTCTTAAACGTCTACATTGTGGATTTTATTGTGTTATGCTATGAGAATAGGGATCTTCAATTTATCGATCTCCAAACTTTTCCTCTAAGGAAAGAATAAACCAATATGGAAGAAAATTATATTTTCTTTTCAAAAAAAGTAAAAACATTTATGGTAATGTTTTGTCTTTTCTTTTAGGAAAAATAAACTTCAAATAAAATAAGAAAAACCATGGCAAAACCCTAACACATATTGCATTCATTGTTCTGCCCACCAATTGCAGTTAACACTAATGACTATGATTCAAATGTAGATAACTTTTTTTTTGATTAATTACTACTGTGTTAAATATTGTTGGAGCACCTTTTAAGCGCAAGGATTTGCTTCGGGAACATCTTGCCAAAAAGTTAGAAGATTTACTCATATCGGGTGAAGTGAAAATTGAATGAGGATTAAATAAAAAATGTAGGCTTTAGTGGTTAGGTGATACTTGTTGGGGTTCTCATTATAGAACATTAGATAACTTTATTGCTCTATTTCCATCTGTTATTATGTGCTTGACTTACTAAATGTGAATGTCCAAACTATACTAATTTGTTGCTAAAACTTTTGTGATACGATTAAGACATTTAATATTGCCTTTATGTTGCACTTGATTTGAAAAGTTCTTAGACAAATGAGTTGAGCTCCTCATTACAAAGGATGGATCAAGATATATTATCAATGCTACGAAATTTTTTGCTCTTACAAAACGATTATTACAAAACATGAAGGATAGTAAATTCGAATCATTAATGAATGATGTCTCTTATTTTTGTGATAAGCATAATATAACCATGCTAGAGATGGATGCTAGTTACTTTTCTGGTAAGTTAAAGCATAACGCTCTTGATATTACATATTCTTATTATTTGCGAGTTGAAACTTTTTATATTGTTATTGATTTGCATCTTCAAGACCTTAATAATCGTTTTGATGTTATGAGTACTGATTTCTTTCTCGGTATGGCTAGTTTGAATCCAGCTAATTCATTTGTTAATTTTGATAAGATCAAGATAATGAGAGTGGCTGAATATTATATGAATGAGTTTGTCATCAACAAACTTCGAGATCTCAGTTTTCAGGTTGATAGCTTTATAGTTTATGATTGTGGTTCTGACAAAAGGTTCTTCAACTTGAAGGAAATTAGTGATCTTACTAAAGTATTGGTTAAGTCAGATCTACATCAAATTTGGTCACTTGTTTATTCACTTATCAATTGACTCTCACTCTTTCTATTGCTATTGTTTATGTGGAACGAACTTTCTCATTCATGAAGTATATCAAAAATGTCACTTTCGTAATAGTATTGGTGATGACTTTTTGAGTGATTGTTTAGTTTGTTATGTAGAGCGTAAGATATTCACAAATATAAGCAATGATGATATTATATATCGTTTTCAACATATGAAAAGTTGTCCAACACAGTTATGACTTTAAGACTAGAAGTCTCTTTTTGTAATAATAATATTACTAGCAGGTTATTGTGGCTTCTGATTAAAAGTTATTTTTGGTGATAATATTAATCGTTATTTTATTTTTTTACTTTTTTGTTGAAGTGTTTGAGACGTTATTATATATTTATATTATGTAATTGCTAACAATTTTATGTTAAAGGAGGTGAGCACCTTTAAATTCTTGATCCACCACTGCTTATAGAGATATCAATGGACATTGTATTTTCTAGGTCATACCTTTTTAGCAACATTTTAATATATTTAAGCTAACAAATCATTGTTCCATTCTTGGTTTGTTTTATTGTAGGCTTAAAAAGAAATCCACTTCCCTTATCATGCTTGTTAAATCGGTTGCAACCTATGCACTTTACGAATCAGGTCCTTTGATTAACTATGCAAGAAGATAAAGTGCAGAATAATAAGATCAACATAAGTTTAATTAGTATGGAAAGTTTAATTAGTATGGACAAGCTCCTTGCTCAAGGGAGGAAAACTCATGACCATTAGAATTTTTTCAAACTTTCACTAAATATGAACAACTTGTTTTAGTTTACAACGTCGTTTACACCTATAAATTGTTCCTAACAGTATCATCCCCAACTTTTCCTTCTTCAATAATTCCGAATTGTTGACTCTCTTTACTAACTATTAAATAACTCTACACAGTTAATAACATTTCTTGCAATTCAATAAACATTACAATTACTAAGTAAAGTAAATAGATGAAACCACACTCAAGAAGCTAACTATTATAACTAAGAACAAAATCATAAATCTTGATAGGAAAACTTTTTGGCTCTCTCGAGACTGATGTCAACTCTCAAATCACTCTAGATATCTCTCTTTGGATGAAGTCAAGCTCCAAAGCCTTTTGACATGTACGTATAAGAGTGATTGTTATTTTCAACGGTTGAATTTAGCTAATATCTTTTGTTAATCATTGTAATTTATGATATTTATTACGTAATTATTAAATATACAAATTATTGAAAAGAGTGTTTTAATTATTGTAATGCGTCTATCCAATAATTTAATATTTATCTTAGTTTCCTTTTAAAATATCAAACATTACAATAAAGATTAGATTAATTTATTTCGTCAATTGTAAAGACATTTAATTCTATTATACTTTATTACTATATACTCCTTTTCTACACTTTTACTTGTTGCATTTTAAAATTCAATTTAATTAATCTTTAATGATCAATTACACTAGATAAATTTAATATTTTAAAATTTAAATTTAAATTTTTCAAAATTATATGAAAAGTAATATAAATTGTAAAATTTCTAATAACTTGTATATATTTGTTCACTAGCTAATAGATAAAATAAAGAAAGTACCATAAAGCTTATAACCTACTATGTACTATTCTTTCATTTTATTTTTTTATCTTTCCTTTTAATTTGTTTGTTTATCGTCTCTTTAGTTCATTTATTTTTTTATAATTTTTTAATTTCAATTTTGCACATAACAGGTTTTAAAATTACAAGATTAAGAGTCTGTTTTGATTGACTTAAAAAAGTAACTTTTAAGTCAAAAATAAAAAGTCAAACTGAAATGACTTTTAAGTCAAAAAATAAAAAGTATGGGATGCCTAATTTTTATTTTAAACTTATTTTAAGTCATTTTTTACTTATTTTAAGTTATTTTTATATTTGTCAAACACTTTCAGAAGTCAAAAACTAACTTAAAAATAGGTTTGACCAACTTTTAAGTCAATTCAAACATCCTCTAAGAGCATTCTGTATATTCTATCTATTTTTAATTTCAAATGACTATTTTTTATTTAAACAAATAAATTAATTAAAATCAAATAAATAAATTAAAATGGAAAAAGTATTTAACATAGACACTTGAATTTTTTGAAACACCCAAAAAAGAAACACTCAAAGTTTACTATACTTTCAGCACTATCAAGAACATATAGAGAAGAACAAAGAAATAAATTCGAGGTTAGGAATGACAATGGGGCAGGGTGGACGTGGGTCGGGGCAGTTTAAGGCTATGTGGAGCAGGGTGAATTTAAGGTTGTGCGGGGCGGGTTGATGTGGATTTTTTTAAAGTTAATGTTGGGCGGGGCGAGTTGCGGGTCTGTGCGGTTTTAAACTTAATTTTAGCTATTTATTAAGATTAGTTTCTTTAAAGTTACTAAAATATTTAAGATACTAAATGAAAACGATTCAGTCAAAACTAATATAATTTCTTACATGTTTTTCAATTGACCTCTCAAAACTAATATAATTTCTTACATGCTTTTCAATTGACCTCTAGAAATTAAAATTTTAAGTCATTATCTATTAATTAATATAATTAATAAAAAAATAAATTTATTTTTATAAATTTTATTTTTAGTATCAAACTTAACTAGAAAGAAGAATATTAAAAATTTATGCGGCGGGTTCATGCGGAGCTAGATGAGGCATGTTGAAAATGAAAAAAAATTATGTGGGGCGGAACGGGTCAGGTTAAAAATTTGCGGCTTAAGCTCAGCTTGCCCTGACCCCATGCCGCACCACCCCATTGCTATCCCTATTCGATGTATATATATTATGTTCGAAAATTTCTTTTATTGTATTCTTTATTTATATTTTTTAGGTCATAAGTATATTTATAATTTTGCTTTAAATTATTTATATTTTTAATAATAATTTGATAATAACTTAAAAAGCAAAGTGAAAATTGATATTTAATATTATGTTTTTTAAATGAATATGCATTACCTTATAAATTTTAATTTAATTTAAGCTCGAGAGGGAGTATTACAAAGAAGTTCAATATAAATTTGAAAGTCAACTTCTTCTTCTTCTTTCTTTTTTATATTGAAATTTGAAAGACAAACAGAAGATACTCCCGCTGTTCAATAATAGTCATTCACTTAATACACATTTTAAAAACAATAAATAGTAAGGATAATACTATTCTTCAAATATATTAAATTTAATATTTTGAAAAATATATTAGGCATTAAATAACATTTAAAAGCAAGAATAAAATAAATACAAAAGATAATTTAACTCTTAATTTTTTTAACTAGACAAAAATTGATTGACAACTATTTTACTATGGTGAACAAGTACAAATAGATGAATGAAGTAGATGAAGTACTCTCTTCGTCCATTTTTATTTATTTATGCTTAACTTGATACATTTCATAAGAAAGTAATAATATGAAGTACTCTCTTCGTCCATTTTTATTTATTTATGCTTAACGTGACACATTTCATAAGAAAGTAATAATAGAAAAGCAATCTTGTAATATCACTCTTATTAATAGTGTAAATCATTTAAATCGTGAAAAAGAAATAATAATATTTAATAACAAAAATGTAATAGATAAAAAATAATAAATTATTTTTTAATTTTTAAAATAAATAAAATTAAATAATTATTTTACATATATTAGACGACGAAGAAATTAACAGTTATCCATAAGGTAAAGAAGTGGGCCACACATTACTTCAATTCAATTTAAGACGGAGTGACCTCTGTTACTTTGTGTCTTGAAAACCCCAAAAGACGGAGGTGATATTTTGCTTCATACATGCACGCAAGCTACTCTTCACACTCTTCCATATTTCTCCAGACCTGCTTTATCTTTATCTCACTTCATTTATTTTTCTCTCTCAAAATACTCATCTAAAATGTTTTGTTTGTTACTTCCCTACTTATACTACTTATATAATATATAAAAATTACTAGAGTAATATTTAATTAATTAATAATTTCTCTAAAATAATACTTTTTTCTGGTTTTAATTTGAGTTAATGAAAAAAATCAGTCGTTTCGATAAGATAATATATTTTTGAAAGATCCATATATAAATATATAACGTTAATATTATAAATTAATAATTCTTTAAAAATACAAATATATCTAAGATAATTTAGTGAAATATGATTTTATTGTGTTCTGTTTTTTGTTAAAACTTAAATCTAGTTGAAGCTCATTTATAACTTTTCTTATTACATCGAAAAGTTTTTCGAACTGCACCATTAAATTGTGAAGAGTTGTAGATACGTTAAGTGTTTCCTAACGCGTAACTGGTTCCAAAAGTATTGTATTATTTCCAACTTTATCATCAACATTATTTTTTTCAATGGTATCCACAATTTGTCCTAAACTCTTAACCTCTGAGCATTTTCACCCATTCAACATGTTATTAACATTCATTTATTGCGGTAACTGAGATCATTAGTCATGACCTCAAGTTCAGGAATGACGTTTTCACAAGTGGTTTCATTCAAATTATCTCAGAGTTCATCCCCAAATGAATTTTGTGGTGTCGAAACACTCTTTAAATTAATTAACATTAATTTATCGATTAAATAATACATCTATAAAAAATACTCCCTCCGTCCCAATTTATGTGACACTTTTCGTTTTTCGAGAGTCAAACTGTTTAAGTTTGACCGGGAATTTGCGCATGAAATCTTCAATTTTTTTGAAGTAAAATTTATATATTTGTAAACTACGTAAAAAGTATTATAAGTCACAATAATTGATAATTCAAAATATTTAAAGATTTATGAAAAATTTACAGTCAAAGTTACTTGTTTGAATCTCAAAATCCAAAAAAGTGTCACATCAAAATGAGACGGAGGGGGTAATATTTATTGTCCTACCTATATTAATTTAGTAATGTTTTACTGTAATTCATTTTTATAAGTATTATTTTAAAAAAAATACTTTATCATTAATAAAAAACATTTTATTAATTTATCCTTTTAAAACTTTCTTTAATATGCTCTATTTACATATCTTATTTATCAATCTCTATAAATATATAAAACTGAATGTAGACTAGGCTGATGTGACACCTCTCAATGGCCACCATTCGTATTTATCTATTTTCTCCTTTTTTTAATATTTTAATTTCATTTTTATACATAATTTACTAATTAAATAGATTAATAAAAGACTAATGCAATAAATATATAATCAAGCCTACATAGTAACCACAATTGATTTTTATGACCACTCTTTAATTTATCATTAAAAAGACAATAATGAAAGAACATTAATGTGAGCAAATGTCAAAACTGTTTTAATTGATTTAAAACCTTGAAAAAATAATCAATGTTAAGATTAATCCTTATCATTTATAATAAGAGACTCTTTATTTTTATTTTAATAAATTCTTTCGGTTACAACATAATTTGCATTACTTAATTGTAGAATTTGAAAGATTTTTACATCATTAAAATTTGAAGACAACTATATAAATAGAATACAATATACATTTACAAACTCAATTTTTTCATGAATCAATATGAAATTTATGTAATATAAATTTTCAGAAATAGATAGACAAGAATGAATGAGTCTAAGAAAGAAGGTCATCACAATTCAAGATTATTTTGTAATCTCAAACCACGAACATTACTAATGTCTTGTGTTTTTTTG